TACTTCTGGGGCGGAGATGGGCAGACAAAAAAGGAGGCTGCACAAATAGACAGACTCAACCATGAAACGGGCAGATCCTCTCCTAAAGGGGGTGGTCAGGCTGTCTGACAGCTTGCCCAATAAAGACAGACCACGCATGGAGCACAGTGCCGAGTCTCTTAATGCTAAGGTGCCGTCCTAGTGCCCAGTACCTTTATGTTTCTGTTGTTCAGATTTTAAAATGTGGGACAGGTTCCACTAGGCCTATTTTTGCAGAGACAGTAGCCCAAGACTATCATGGCAAATTCAGGACTGTTGGCAGCTGCTTTGGGACCCCCCGGAGTAACTGGGCCCGGGGCACCTGCCCCGTTTGCCCCACGTTAAAGACATGACTGCTGACACAACCACTCCCCGACCAAAACCCGTTGCCCCCCAATACACGTGACACCTCATTCTTGTGGATAAGGGCAACAGCCACAGCTTTATTTAATATAACAATTTTAACTCAGTCCAACTCTGCCAGCTGTTGGGTGTTTCCCAACAAGCAGTTCTCCCAAATTCTGTGCCATGAGCCTCAACAGCCGGCTCCTCGCCATCAGCTCCGTGCAGGCTGTTGTCTCCCTAAAGTTCCTTTTTTCTTCTGCGCTGTCCAGGGAGACCCGCCAAGCTATGACAACACAAAGAACGAGAAACAAGAAACAAGGCACAACACCAGAAACAGGGTGGGAGGGTGGGAAAACAGTGTGGAGCCCTAACTGATCCTGCTGAATGGTAAGTCCCTTCCCGCTCCCTTTCCTTAAGAACCACAACTTTAGACACAAATGTATCTACCTTAACCCAGCCCACAACCGTGGGCAGCAGTCATGCTCCCCCTTCCTTATTGTTCCGGGGGAAACTTGACTGCTGACCCAACCAGTCCCCGACCAAAACCCGTTGCCCCCCAATAATATACGTGACACCTCATTCTTGTGGATAAGGGCAACGGTCACAGCTTTATTTCATATAACAATTTTACAAGAACAAAGAAATATGCAGACCGTCTCAATTATATGAATGAAACTTACTGCATTGACTGGAAAAAATATATCTATGTATAGCGCGATGTTCCAAATATAGAACCTGGCTATTAGAAATAATATGGTCAGAGACCCTAATTAAACAAAGTATATACAAGTGAACCTACAATCCTATGCCAGCCCAGGGTAGTATAGATCAAGAGGTAGTAAAAAAGATAACCTCACTCCCCCTTATAATTAAGCTTTATTGTGATCTGCTATAGGGATAGGAGTATACAGTAGCTAAGTCTCTATAATCCATGCATCCTAGGAAGTATCCTGGTCACACTAGAAACATATTAAGAAAAACAGAGAGAGATAAGGACTGAAAATAGAAGTAAAAAAATCAGTCAAAAACAGACTGATAATTAGCATTAATAAAGCCTCTCTCCCTGTAAAGCTAGCTAGATAGGCATAGGAAAGAAAAGAAGAAAACGATATAAAATAAAGTTAAATTAAATGGTGATCATGGTGCTCCAAACACCAGTGCCCAGTGCAGAAAAAACGCCCAACGTACGTTTCGGTGCAGAGAGATGCACCTTCGTCAGGGGCCAACAGATAACTGAAGAGAAGCCTCTTAAATACCCCAATTGCCAGGAAGCATGATTACATTGTAGCCAATGGAGTGTGGGGGGGTATACCTCCCCAGCTGCCTCTAATATCCTGGCTATTCCTCTGTGATTGCTAATGCTCATTCATCTGTATGAAGGGGAAATCCCTCAGCCGGTCACGTGACCTGTGATGTCATGCGTCACGTGACGTATCCGGCATTCTCCTAACGGGGCGTGGCTCATTCATCATAGTGCTGCAGTACCGCCCATCCGAGCCTCTCCTGTCCATCATCCTCACATGGGTTGATCCCCTGTGACAGATGGGCGGAGCTAGGTATTCTCTGTGTATGGAGAAACCGAAATTGTCCAAATTAAGGCTCAAATTGATAAGCTGCATATTGATAATGTATCATTACAAAGTACCAATGTGTACTATATAGGATGTACAGAATCAGCTGAAAATATAAGGCAGTGCTGATTACATATTATTCTAATACTGAATCTATTAAAGATGTAGTAAAGAATATGAGAGGACACCCCAATAATAAGAGAAAAATTGAATGATAAGGGGTCCTGGGATGTTGTTAACTCCCACTCCCCCGTCCCAGGCAAGGATATATGATAATAAATATATTTAGTGTTCATAGGACCCATGCTAGGATGCAAAATTAGCATGGTACATCCTGCCGCTATATCCTGTACACTGAGTCACTTGACAATATGAACCTCTGAATGACCAGATATGACTTAGTCCGTAAAATAAAAATAATAATAATAAGACTAGCATTCTTTTTGTCAAGAGGTATTTAAACTTATGGCACCTGAGGTTCCTAGTTGGTCTCCCATACAAGTACTAACCCGGCCCAAGTCTGGATGGCTTCTGAGATCTGACGAGATCAGGCATTTTCAGACTGGTATGGCCATTGATATTTTCATTCAAGTGCTCAGCAAGCTTGGTCTAGGAACATTATTGGTATTATAGTCATTATATAGCTATTTCCTTGGGAGAATTCAAGCATTAGCAATTTAGTGGTCCTCATCCGGTAATCATGAGAATAAATTTATATGATAAAAAATAATATAAAAAATAATAATAAATAGAAAAGAATAGTGATAATAGTAGTAATAGTAATAAGCAAAGAATATACCCATTGTGGAACAAACCGCGCTATATTTACAAATTTACAAGTGTATCAGGCCATAAGGCTCACTCAGAATAGATTAGTGCAGAGATCACCCGCCGAGTACCACTGCCCGTATATAGGTCTGAGTCCCACACCTGGTATCAGTGATCTGCAATAAATGGTGTATATGAGAAACCTTCGTTAAGTCCCAAGGGTGACAGGGTTTTGAGCTTATAGATCCAGAAGCTCTCCCTTTGGAGTAGCTTCTTGTCTAAATCCCCCCCTCTTGGTCCCAAGGTAACCCTTTCAATACCACTAAATCTGATTCCTTCAGATGAGCCCCCATGATGTAGTTTCAAATGTTTAGAGATAGGGGTGTCGATTTGTCTTGTGGGGTTTACCGAATTGACATGTTCCCGTATCCTAAGTTTAAACATCCTAAAGGTTTTTCCCACATACAGTTTTTTGCACGAACAGGAAAGTAAGTAGATAAGCCCTTTGGACTGACAGTTAAAGAAATTCTTTACTTTGAATTCCTGTGTGCCGAGGGAGTCTGGGAATGTTTTGGAGGGTCTACGTATAAACCTACATGCCTTACATTTCCCACATTGATAGGTCCCTAAGACTGGGGACTTCAGCCATGATGTTTTCTGGGGTGTAGTCTTGAGATGGCTAGGGACCAACATGTCCTTGATGTTGCGTCCCCTTCTTGCTGTTACTGAAGCCTTATGTGTGATTACCTTCCGTAAGTGTGGGTCTTGTTGTAAAAGGGGCCAGAATCTGTCCAAGATTTGCATCATTTGATGCCAGCCGGCATCAAAATTCCCTATACATCTTATGACTGCCTGTGATGGCTCTGGGTTATGTTCGATTAGAAGGTCTTTCCGATCTGACAGTAAGGCCCGTTTATAAGCGTGCTTTAAGCATCTATTCGGGTACCCCTTTTGTTTGAATTGGAGTTGTAAGGTCTTAGCCTTTAGTTTAAAATCATCCAATGTAGAGCAATTGCGTCTAAGGCGCAAGTATTGTCCAGTTGGAATCCCTTTCTTTAGGGAAGGGGGATGATGGCTAGACCAATTCAGCATGTTATTAGTTGCCGTTGGTTTACGGAACAGAGTTGAGATGAGGCACCCTTCTTCTGTCAGCGAGATGGTGAGGTCCAGAAAATTAATTCTATTGCCACCAATTTCACTAGTCAGTTTGAGATTAATATTGTTGGAGTTGAGAGTGTGGACGAAGTCCAAAAACAGTTCCGAGGTATCTGTCCAAATGATAAACACGTCATCGATGTATCTTTTCCAGATTTTTATATGCTTTGTATATTTTACCATATGATCCGTGAATACCATTTGAGACTCCCACCACCCCAGGTGGAGGTTGGCATATGATGGGGCACAAGCCGTCCCCATCGCAGTCCCTCTCACCTGGTGATAATACTTTCCCTGAAAGGTAAAGTGATTGTGTGTTAAGATAAATTGCATCAGATCTTGGACGAATTTATTGTGTCTTAGTGATATTACTGGTTTACTGTCCAAGCTAGCTTTCAGATGTTCTAGTCCAACTTCATGTGGAATCGAGCTGTACAGGCTCTCCACATCAAGGCTACATAAAATAGCGTGACCACTAATTTTTGTTCCTTCGATGATACTTAATGTGTGTTTCGTGTCTTTAAGATATGAAGGAAGTTGAGTGACTAGTTTCCTCAGGATCTGATCCACATAAAGACTGATGTTTTGAGTCAGATTACCTCTACCAGAGACTATGGGTCTCCCATTTAGTACCGGTTGTTGTTTGTGTACCTTTGGGAGTGCATAGAAGGTGGCAGTGACGGGATTCTTGACAAACATAAAATTATATTCATCCCTGGAAATTAGAAGTTGAGATAAAGCTGTATCAAGGATTATTTTCAACTCTGCCAAGTATTTTTTAGTGGGGTCACCCTTTAGAACTTCATACGTATTGCTATCCCCAATTAGTCTTTGTACCATTGAGACATAATCAGGTTTGTTTAGAATGACTGTATTGCCCCCTTTATCGGAGGGTTTAAAGATAACCTCATCCAGTTCTTTAAGTTTTTTAAGAGAGATATTTTCTTGAGGAGAGATGTTGCTATTAGGTTGGATTGGAAGGTCTTTTAAGTTGATTTTTTCAATTTCATTGCATGTCATCTCCACAAATAGGTCTATATATTTAAAATCCACTAAGTGTGGAGTGAACATGCTTTTCTTTTTTAGATGTGTAAAGGGGGGATATCTTACTTCGGATTCGTCATTCGCAATAAGGAGGTCAAGTGCACCCATATCTGAGACTTGTAAACCAAGATCTTTTGCCCTTTTTTCCTCTTTCATATAGTGAAATTTATGCAGAGCCAGTTTTCTAGCAAACAGGTGTATGTCCTTTGTCCAGCTAAACTTATCGAGACTGGGACAAAGGACATACCCCGCTGTAAAACCTGCAACTCTGCTTGAGTCGGAGTGTATGAGGACAAATTGATGATCTGGTTATTTACAGTTGTCTTATCTAATATCTTTTTCTTCCCCTGAAGTGTTGGGGTGGTCTGCCTCTGTACCTTGTCCGTGGGGCTGTACTTTCTTCCATATTGGGTTGGCCTAAAAAAGAGACCCCTCTTTTTAATATACTTTTTGAATTGCGTTCTGATGAGGCAGACGTACTCGCTTTAGAGGAATCTGAGTCTGAACCACTCGTCTCATATTCTGACGTTGATATTGGTTCAGAGAAACTCCTTCTTGGATTCCTATTCTTTCTATAAACATTACCACTTTTAAAGTCATTATTGTCTCTGATGAATTTGGAATGTTTCCGAATCTTAATATTTTGTTGGAATCTATCCAAATTGCTCTTAAGTTTTGTCTCTAGTGCTTCAAAGTTAGGTTCCCCTTTAAAAGCTGCAATTCTGTCTATCTGCTCATCCACTTCTTTATTAACCCTTTCCAGTCTTTTAGTTTCAAATTTACAAAGGATTTCCATAAATCTCTTGGAACATGTGCCTGCAGCTTCCTCCCACTCTTTTGTAAATTCATCCTCCTCAATATGGGAAGCTGGTATGTTCTGTACCCTTAATCCCCTCGGAATTAGATCTTTTTTAAGGTAATTGTCCAGGGATGCAATTTCCCACCCTGTTTTAATTTGTTGCTGAAATAAGTTAGTCAAACGGTTAAACGATGAGATGATATTATCACTATCTGTAAGGCTTGTAAGATCCTGTTCTGAAAAGACTTTATCCGTATCTTTACACCAGACGTCTCTTTTTGACTTATCGAATAGAAAACTGGCCATGATACACAAACTGGTACTATGGTATTAAAACCAAATTATTTACAAAAAAGAGAGCAAGGAACACAACGTTCCAAGTCCCTGTATAGCCGCCGCACCCACCACCTCAAAACCTCCCCAAAAGGGGGGCAGTGGCTGCAGGGGTCACGCAGAGACAAACGTACCAGTATGAGACTCCAGCTGTCTCAGAGGGGCTTAACCCCAAATATAAACACAAGAACAAAGAAATATGCAGACCGTCTCAATTATATGAATGAAACTTACTGCATTGACTGGAAAAAATATATCTATGTATAGCGCGATGTTCCAAATATAGAACCTGGCTATTAGAAATAATATGGTCAGAGACCCTAATTAAACAAAGTATATACAAGTGAACCTACAATCCTATGCCAGCCCAGGGTAGTATAGATCAAGAGGTAGTAAAAAAGATAACCTCACTCCCCCTTATAATTAAGCTTTATTGTGATCTGCTATAGGGATAGGAGTATACAGTAGCTAAGTCTCTATAATCCATGCATCCTAGGAAGTATCCTGGTCACACTAGAAACATATTAAGAAAAACAGAGAGAGATAAGGACTGAAAATAGAAGTAAAAAATCAGTCAAAAACAGACTGATAATTAGCATTAATAAAGCCTCTCTCCCTGTAAAGCTAGCTAGATAGGCATAGGAAAGAAAAGAAGAAAACGATATAAAATGAAGTTAAATTAAATGGTGATCATGGTGCTCCAAACACCAGTGCCCAGTGCAGAAAAAACGCCCAACGTACGTTTCGGTGCAGAGAGATGCACCTTCGTCAGGGGCCAACAGATAACTGAAGAGAAGCCTCTTAAATACCCCAATTGCCAGGAAGCATGATTACCTTGTAGCCAATGGAGTGTGGGGGTGTATACCTCCCCAGCTGCCTCTAATATCCTGGCTATTCCTCTGTGATTGCTAATGCTCATTCATCTGTATGAAGGGGAAATCCCTCAGCCGGTCACGTGACCTGTGATGTCATGCGTCACGTGACGTATCCGGCATTCTCCTAACGGGGCGTGGCTCATTCATCATAGTGCTGCAGTACCACCCATCCGAGCCTCTCCTGTCCATCATCCTCACATGGGTTGATCCCCTGTGACAGATGGGCGGAGCTAGGTATTCTCTGTGTATGGAGAAACCGAAATTGTCCAAATTAAGGCTCAAATTGATAAGCTGCATATTGATAATGTATCATTACAAAGTACCAATGTGTACTATATAGGATGTACAGACTCAGCTGAAAATATAAGGCAGTGCTGATTACATATTATTCTAATACTGAATCTATTAAAGATGTAGTAAAGAATATGAGAGGACACCCCAATAATAAGAGAAAAATTGAATGATAAGGGGTCCTGGGATGTTGTTAACTCCCACTCCCCCATCCCAGGCAAGGATATATGATAATAAATATATTTAGTGTTCATAGGACCCATGCTAGGATGCAAAATTAGCATGGTACATCCTGCCGCTATATCCTGTACACTGAGTCACTTGACAATATGAACCTCTGAATGACCAGATATGACTTAGTCCGTAAAATAAAAATAATAATAATAAGGCTAGCATTCTTTTTGTCAAGAGGTCTTTAAACTTATGGCACCTGAGGTTCCTAGTTGGTCTCCCATACAAGTACTAGCCAGGCCCAAGTCTGGATGGCTTCTGAGATCTGACGAGATCAGGCATTTTCAGACTGGTATGGCCATTGATATTTTCATTCAAGTGCTCAGCAAGCTTGGTCTAGGAACATTATTGGTATTATAGTCATTATATAGCTATTTCCTTGGGAGAATTCAAGCATTAGCAATTTAGTGGTCCTCATCCGGTAATCATGAGAATAAATTTATATGATAAAAAATAATATAAAAAATAATAATAAATAGAAAAGAATAGTGATAATAGTAGTAATAGTAATAAGCAAAGGATATACCCATTGTGGAACAAACCGCGCTATATTTACAAATTTACAAGTGTATCAGGCCATAAGGCTCACTCAGAATAGATTAGTGCAGAGATCACGCGCCGAGTACCACTGCCCGTATATAGGTCTGAGTCCCACACCTGGTATCAGTGATCTGCAATAAATGGTGTATATGAGAAACATTCGTTAAGACCCAAGGGTGACAGGGTTTTGAGCTTATAGATCCAGAAGCTCTCCCTTTGGAGTAGCTTCTTGTCTAAATCCCCCCCTCTTGGTCCCAAGGTAACCCTTTCAATACCACTAAATCTGATTCCTTCAGATGAGCCCCCATGATGTAGTTTCAAATGTTTAGAGATAGGGGTGTCGATTTGTCTTGTGGGGTTTACCGAATTGACATGTTCCCGTATCCTAAGTTTAAACATCCTAAAGGTTTTTCCCACATACAGTTTTTTGCACGAACAGGAAAGTAAGTAGATAAGCCCTTTGGACTGACAGTTAAAGAAATTCTTTACTTTGAATTCCTGTGTGCCGAGGGAGTCTGGGAATGTTTTGGAGGGTCTACGTATAAACCTACATGCCTTACATTGATAGGTCCCTAAGACTGGGGACTTCAGCCATGATGTTTTCTGGGGTGTAGTCTTGAGATGGCTAGGGACCAACATGTCCTTGATGTTGCGTCCCCTTCTTGCTGTTACTGAAGCCTTATGTGTGATTACCTTCCGTAAGTGTGGGTCTTGTTGTAAAAGGGGCCAGAATCTGTCCAAGATTTGCATCATTTGATGCCAGCCGGCATCAAAATTCCCTATACATCTTATGACTGCCTGTGATGGCTCTGGGTTATGTTCGATTAGAAGGTCTTTCCGATCTGACAGTAAGGCCCGTTTATAAGCGTGCTTTAAGCATCTATTCGACATATAACAATTTTAACTCAGTCCAACTCTGTCAGCTGTTGGGTGTTTCCCAACAGGCAGTTCTCCCAAATTCTGTGCCATGAGCCTCGACAGCCGGCTCCTCGCCATCAGCTCAGTGCATGTTGTCGTCTCCCCAAAGTTCCTTTTTTCTTCTGCGCTGTCCAGGGAAACCCGCCACCGCGATGCCCACCTCACGCACTATGCTGCGTGGGCATCGCGCCCCCTGCCGACAGTGCAGCCTCAATTCCAGCTTGCAGTCCCATATTGAAGATATCTAACCCAATGGGGGACAAATGAACACCACCCCGTCTCATTACATCATCATTAACCCCTTCCAACTCGAAGTGCCTAACAACTATACCCCCCAGGTGGCGCACAAACCGGGACATGGTCATATTGACCTTACGCCTATAGCGCTCTAAAGCCTTACCATGACCCCCAGACCGCCAGACCGGGCGTGGAACAATCTCGGACCAGACGAGGGTCAGGTCCCAGAACAACACAAAACAGCGGGCCACGTCATGCCGCATCAAGGAGAAGGACAAATCAAGGAGAAGGACCTACAACGAAAATAACATACAGCCATAACTGCTGCGCCGCTAGCCTACAGCAAATGGGGGCGCTCATAGAGCTGGAACCGACCTGACTGCCAGCGCCCCAAATGCTTGAGCGCCTCTGTGGGGAGGCATAGCTGACTAGCCTGCATGGCAGCCCCGATTCGAAATTAGTGCGTGGTGTACAAACCTGGAGACAGCCCAATGCTGATAACCCCTGCACGAAGTACCCTAGCGAATTGAAACCGGCTGAGTGATGACCCATCCCGGTGCCGCAACAGGGACCCCGCCTCTGATCCTCGTACCTCCAAGAACTCCCTAACCTAACCGGGCAAAACCGCTCACCGGTAGCCTGAATCCGAACTGACGCGCCCTCTCCTGACTGATCGGTCTTAGACTTTTGAATGAGCAACGTCACGTCGCCCGTTGAAACCCTGATATCAGAGATTTGCATGGCAGCCAGTGCCCATGTACTTGGAGCCACCAGCTTGCCTATCCAAAGGGCCGCAAAGAAGAAGAGAGCAAAAGTGGCTTGGAACAGGAGAACCTAGTAGACCGAGGCACAAATCTGGGGCAGACGCTCCAGGAGTCTGCATAAGATCTCATAGGAGATTGGACACCGAGAGTCCGCCTTACAGCCCTTCATGACCCGCGAGGCGCAGAATGACTTGGTAGCATCCTGCCACCCACACCACTGGAACAGAAAAGACAGGGCCGCTAGGGACCTCTCGGCCGCTGCTGCCGACTTACCCTCCTCGCAGAGGAACTCCAAGAAGGCCAGAGTCGCTGCCAACCTACCTTCGTCCAAGGACGCATCTCTGCCATTGCAGACATCCTTCCATTTCCGCCACACCGCAGAATACGACCTCCACGTCGACTCTGATCGCGACTCCCTCACCAACCGGCTCAAATGGTGGAAACCAGGTCCCATGTGCCCACCGGCCACGAGGTTCCAGTCCGCGCTGCCTCTGGAGCCACCACTCGAAACCTGTCCCACTGAAACCGAGTCGGCTATAACGTTTCGCTCCCCAGGCACATGGCGCGCAACCAACTTCAAATTATGTGCTAAGCTAAGCAGTACCAGGCACCGAAGGAGCGTCAACACCGGAGGGGACACAGACGTAGATCGGATGATCACATGGACCACACTCAAGTTGTCCGTGTGCACCACCACCTTCCGATTCGACAGCTCTACACCCCAGAGTTCCACAGCCACCACAATTGGAAAGAGCTCCAGAAACGTTAAGTTACTCACCAATTCAGTCTCTAGCCATTGTCGGGGCCAGGCCTCCGCGCACCAACGCCCTTGAAAGTAGGCACCAAAACCCACCGACCCGGACGCTTCGTGTACAATTCCAAATCCGTGTTGGACACCCCCGGGCGCAGCCAGCAGGATTGCCCATTGTAGCTACCCAGAAATGAACTCCAGGAAAAGGGGACGGATGACTAGGGGTCATCAGCAAGAGCCAAAGGCTCCCGTCCTGGACCCCAAAGTCCATACCTGAACACAGGGCCATCTTTTGGCGAAATTGTTGGTCATAACGAAACCAACACTGGCCCCCATAAACCTTGTACGCCCGCCATCTAAGGTCTAAATACCCAAATAACGCAGGTGCCTTCTCAGCACACTTGCGAATATGGAGAAAATTTGAAGCCAGTTCCCAAAGGTACGCGGCAGCTGCTTACCTCTGTCACCGTCCACCGAATCCCCCCGCCGCGGTCTATCCACTGACTCCCGGTCCAGGGGGACCAGGAACAGTAAATCCACGTATACACCCTTGATAATTTTTTCTTTAACGTCCAGCACCACATGCATCCCCAGTGGGGACAGCTCACAACCTGGCAAGCACCCCTGCACCCTACCTTACCGGGCATTCAACTGACCCCTATCCTGGTCATGGACCTGTGCAGGGAGAGTAACTGATACTGGAGACACCAAGGCCCCCCCCCCCCAGGAGCCTATCTAACACAGCCCTAAATAACTCCAGTACTTCCTGACCCATTAACCCACTACCTACGCTATCCCCAGCTAGCGCATCCCAAGCGCTGGCGCAACAGTTACCGATGGCCGGCTGAGGATGCTGGGCATCACCTTCCTCCGAACAGGAACTGGACCCTGATTCTGCTTTCCAGAGTGCTGAAGCTTGCACTCCTGTGGCCTCTCCTCCTTCCGGGTGCCCTCCTGGACGCTCTTCACGTGGTTCCCGTCTCACTTCCTGCCGGAACCACGCTGGAACGCAAGGCCTTTGATGGCCGCGCTCTCCTGCGCATTGCCGTTATGTACGCGCCTTGCGTGCTGATGTTGCTTCCGCCCGTGCCCACGTCACGCCGCGAGCGTGCCGACGCGACTTCCGTGTGGGCCGGAGGAGAAGCGCGCAGGGAGCGCGATCCTTCCACCCTTTCTTCTCCTTGGATTCCGCCGCCATCTTGGGCCTGGACACCATCGCCATCATCCGAACAGATCCTTCTCCTCCCGGGTACAGCAAGCTGATCCTGTTGCGCGGACGAGCCGCCACTTCTCCCCCTCCTCTGGCACCGAACAGGACTTGGAGAAAGACACGACGGAGGCCTTGATCTCCTGGCCCTCCGTCCGTCTTGGGCTGCAGGCTGACTGGACGTCTCAGCATGGGTGACACTGCAGACTCCTGACATCAGCTCTCCCAGGGCTCCCTGTCCGTGCACCTCAAGGTACACCTGCAGAAGCCTCTGCAACTCAGCTCCAGAGGCCGCCATGACCATCAAAATCGGCAGAAACAGGTATAGTGACCAGCAGAAGTCAGCAGGAAACAGGGAAGGGAGTACAGCACAGTCAATAAAGGAAGTGAAAAATACTAATTGTGATGTTTGTCTTAAGGGGACAAAAAACAGTCAGGAGCACTAACTGATCCTGCTGACTGGTAAGTCCCCTCCCTCTCCCTTTCCTTAAGAACCACAACTTTAGACACAAATGTATCCATCTTAACTCAGCCCACAATCTTGGGCAGCAGTCATGCTCCCCCTTCCTTATTGATCCAGGGGGAAACTGCCCTGGCTGTGGGCAGCTAGGAGAATGTATGTGGTGCTTCAAATATTGCTTTAGTTAGCACAATGCCTTTATGGAGGATTCTAAGTTAGTGCCTTTCTATGCACAATGTACAAAAAGTCAAAATTTTACTAAGGATGACCTTGGTGTTCCCTTTTAATTTTCTAATGAATGCAAAAGTAATCAGCATTAGATAGCCAGTGATTCAATTCTTTTGAGAGTGATTCCATTTCACTTGTCCCTTACAGGAGCCAAAGAAAGAAGGCATTATTAATTTAGGTAATTAGAGCACTTTGAAAGCAATATCCAGTACATTACAAAAAAATCTTAACATCCACCGCATCCTCTAGTCCACAAAAATGTAATTTTTACAGCATTTAAAGAGCGAAAGGTCATTACATTAGATGCTCTTTGAAAGACTCTAATATTAAACTGCTAATCTTAATGAAATTGGGGTATTTTCTTTTAAAGTACGGAATAAATGCCTCAGTGACTTGGAAACGAAATTTTATAAATAATGTAAATTAGAGTTTTCATGCTTTACAAGATTACATTTAATCTCTCCCTTTTTATCCCATAGACACATTTCTATATAGGCCTCGATTTAATATTGTTAGACAAGCTTTCCGAATTATTTAATGTTTTTGGATGAACTTTTAAAATAAAA